TGTGTTTATGTATACTTAAGTCATGAGTCGTTTTTAATATATATATGTAAACGTATTTCAAGAATGTCGGGGACCAGGACTACGACCCCAAGACTTGGGACATTTCAGGCCAGTTCCTGTTTTTCAGTAGTCTAGAAGACGAGTGCAAGCGACCACTGGAGGATGGACTCCCTGCATCAAAGTACGAGGGGAGGGCGAGAGCCCTCATACTCTGGTGTATTGGGTCCTTCTTCTTCCCCTCTCATCGGGCCAACGGAGTCAACCTCTACTGGCTGTCCCTATTGAATGTCATTGATGCCATTTCGGGGTACAGCTCGGGTGGAGCGCTTCTGGCCGGGGTATATAGAGCGCTCTGCGAAGCTTAAGAGAAGGAAGAAAAATATATCAAGAGCTGCGTGCAGTTGATTCAGGTAAATTTATTTACTTGTGGTTTGTATATTAATTTTATTTATTATAAATTACAATAATATGTGCTAAAAAATGTATATGTCCATATGCGCAGGTTTGGGCATGGGAACGCATCCCTCGTGTTCGCCCAATCATGAAAAATACGCATTTCGGCTCTCAGCCTGGTTGTCCTTTGGGTGCAAGGTAATAACACCCCATTTATTTATATTCAACTCTTAAGTTATTTCAATTATCAATTTTTTAAATTACAAATAGTTTTTTCTGTGATTTTTAAGGTGGGTGGGATCGAGAGACATGAGGCACCTGGGGACGGGCACGGCTACCATCCGAGATCAGTTGAGTAGCCTGAGAGAGACTGATGTAAGTTTCTTAGGTCATAATAATAAATAATTGTTATTTTTTTAATTCTATTTTTTTATTACATTCATTAATAATTCTATAAATATTTTTTTTCTTACAGTTCGATTGGGTACCCTATCAGACGTACATAGACGAGGGTCGGCTCCCGGACCAGTGTACACGAGACCGACATCTCTGGATGTACAAGGGGTGGATCTTCTGCTGGAACATCACAGAACCCCATCAGCCTGATAGGGTGCTCCGCCAGTTTCGGTGCCACCAGCCCATCCCCCAGACGCCGATCATTGCTAGTCTGGCCGACTGGGACACCCGCCACAGAGGCCAGGGCATGACTAGGAGGGCATATACCGATTGGCAGGCCTTCCATGCTGATCTTGGGAGGATCTGGACCGAAGAGAGAGATCAGAACGTCCTCCCAGATGTCCCGGTGGATCCCTTCCTGCAGCCGGCAGAGGGGTACATTGATTGGTATCACAGTAGGACTGTGAGACTATTCAATGACCCTAACAACTACGCGACGATCTCACAGGACGGCGGGTTTCAGCCATATACCGACCGGGAGAAGTGTCAGGTAAGTGTCTGCTAATTTGTGATTATTATTATTATTATTATTATTATTATTATTATTATTATTATTATTATTATTGAAGTAATTATTATTATTATTATT